CCGTGGGCAGCATTAAATGTCAAAACCAGGCCTTTGATCTTCCTGTACCATGAGCCTTGCTGCTTACTGTCCAGCGTAGACAACACAGAGGATCCAGCTACCCTCCATTCATTCAAAGGTGAGAGAGGTCATCTCCAGCAGGGAGACCTGGAGATTAGCCTGTTTCATCTGCTCTATCGGGAAGGTGGCTATGGTGCAGGACACAAATTCTTTCTCAAGGGCTCTAATGCTGAGAGAGGCTGTGTGCACAGGGATCTCCAAAGCTATGAATGAAGGCCGGCAGCTCAGTGCTGCTCAGACAAACCTCTTGGGCCTGCATCTCCATGCTGTTTCTCACCTAGAGTCACCTGTCACTCGAGGAAACAGGGTCCTTACTGGCTATTCATCTGGCACTTATCTAGCTCCTACCTGCCTTTTAAATTGCTCGCACACAATTAAAAATAATTCCCTCTTTTCTTCAGTTTTCTTTTCTCTAGACTTAGTTATCTATACTCACTGTGGTTTGAAAATATTAAATAGAAAATGCCTGAAAAAAATTCACGAGTTTAAATGTATTGTTCTGAGTGGTGTAAGGAATTCCAGTCTCGTGTCACTAAGTTCAACACAAGACATGAATCCTCTCCTTATCCAGCATGTCCACACTGTGTATCCTACCCTCCAAGTAGCTGAAGTCGTCACGATCCTCAGGTCACTGTTGACAGGTCATATTTCTTGTTTGTCCAAGTCTTTTATGGTAGCCCAAGCATACACCACATATTGCAATGGCTATGTTGGCACTGCCTTTCCTTCCATCAGGTAGACATGGCATCAGCTTACAACATCACTAGCAGAAGGATGAAGACAGTAGGGGAAGATATCGCAAGAGAAATGGGTCTCCTTCACACGACCTATGACATTGTCATTGCTACATGGTCTGTGTGTGTTCATGTGAAGGCTAGTCCCCACAACTCATACCTTACCATAGGTAGACATGTACAAGTAAGCATCCTATGCAGGATTCAATACATCCAAGGTTATTGGTACCCACGGGGGTCTTGGAACATAACCACAGAGCTTGAATGTACAGGGGATGAGAAATGAAGACACAGCACTGTTTTCCCACTGGCTCTGAGATGGCATGCGTTTCAGTAATCTCTGGGAAGAACAGAGATTATTGTACTCTTGTCAATCCCCTTGTCCTTCAGAAAGTCTGCAGTGGTCCAGTTGTCTGACAGATATGCCAGAGACCTCTCATCCTATAGGCTCTCAAAACTGAGATGCTTCCATACTTTTCCCACTGTGCTTCCTAGTTCCCAGAGTGCAGGCTAGTGGCAGAGACCCTTCAGCAGATGGTACTTTCTATATAGCCTTTGGTCTGATGAATTCCTGTTCTAAGCTGTCAGATCAGGCTGAGGAAGAGACCTGAATTTAACCATTTGATATGTCCCCCTGCCTATTAAACATTCATAAGAAAACATTTTGCTTTTGAGAGGTGGTCTGTAACTAGGAGGTTAGTCACCCAACAAATACATCCACGTCTGAAGCTTAGCAGGGTGAAATTTCTGGGGCAACCTTTTTCTGCTTACTGTTGATGCCGGTTTGAGTCCTGCTATTTGTAGCCAATCGAAACCTATTAGATATTTTCCACTTGCTGGTTCTATGTTATTATGAAAAAAGTATTTTATTTCCATTTTAATTGCTAACCCAATACTGATGGCATAAATAAAACTTTGGAGGAACTGATGTGGAAAATACATAAAAATATTTCATACTGCAGAATAACATGCATAAAGTAATGGATATATAGTTTAATAAAATATTCTGGTATATATGTCAAAGCAGTTTGAAAGCTATGCACTATAATTTGCATGTTGTGGTTGAGAGGCAGTAATGGAGCAGGTAGATCCATGGGAAAAATTAGATTTTTTTCTGAGTGACACTGAGATTTTAATAAATTTGGATATCTGTGATAAAGATATTATTTAAAACAATATCACACAGGACTATGAAGACTGAAGAGACTGCCCAGTGAGAAGCACTGGCATCTTTGCTTTGATATCTTAGGATTTTTCAGCACAAAGCCTTGGCCACGTGGGCCATATATGGAGAATCTTATCTGTAGAAATGTGTCCTGAGTTTGAGGTAGAGTCCATGACACACAGAGGGCATCACTCAGATGTCTTTCCCTAGAGGTGACCCAATAGGCTGATGCATGCAGAAACTGAGCTCACACCTGCCCCAGGGAGAAAGAGCCCATGCTATCAACACTACAACCACACACATCATCCAGCTTTAAAATGGTGAACCCTGTGTTAAAACAAGATCCAAAGTCAGTAAACATAAACCCAGTGAAACAAGAAGTAGAAATGGAAGGTGAATTGAATAGACACAGCTCTGTTAAACAACAAAGAAGGATGTTATTGATTGTGTCTGAAATATGCCAGTTGTGGGGTGCTCCCCTAGAATTTCATTCTCTCTCCAGGAGGCTGTATGTTGTATTAGAACAGGACACAGAGTGTAGAAACTCTTAGACTATGACACCATAATGTCTAGATGGCCATGGATAAGTCATAGAGCCCTATGTGCTTATGAGAAGAAGCAGAGAGGAAATCAATGTTACCCACTCAGCACATTTAGAAGTCAGGTGTGGTGGGTGGAAAGGGAAGCAGGGAGAGCAGTATGGCTTCCAGGACAGCTCTCGGTCGCAGCTATGTTAGAACCTTCCATTTTCAGGAGCCATGCTGCAGTTTGGAGAACTGCGTTGAACAAGTCACTAAAGGAGGAAACAGGAGTCCAGGATTGGTCTTGCCTGAAATCGAAAAAGCATCCCCTCTCCTGTCTGTCCGTTTCCCAGGGGGACCACGGGAATGCAAGGACTCTAAGTCACTTCCTGGATAGAGCCTTGAAAATAGCTCCAGGGCTCTTCCTAGGTCTCTAGAAGGATCAAAACAGAATGGAGCCCTTGCCCACTGGGAGGAGGGGGTGAGGGTGGGTGAGAGGAGGGGTAGGAGGAAAGCTGTGGTTGGAATGTAAAATGAAACAAAACAAAACAAAAAACAACAGCAAAAATTAAGAATGAAGCCTTCAGACTTTCCAGAGTTTCTGGGGTACACTCACTCCTCCCTTTAACCACGCAAGACCTGTAAGAGCTCAGTACTGGATGCTGACAGTATTTTCTTCAGACTTCACTTCCTCTCTTCTGATCTTAATCTCAATACCCCCTCTCTCCCTCCTCCTCCTCCTTCTCTTTCTCTCTCCCTCTCTTTCTCTCTCTTTCTTCTCTTTCTCCCCCTTCCTCTTTCCCTCTACCTCCCTCTCTTCCCTTTCTGCCCTTCTTCTTTCTTCCTCTCCCTTCTTTCTTTCTCTCCCCCCAGTTTCATCAGCTCCCATCTTGATCTCTGATTCTTCGTACATGAAAGGAAGGAAGGACTCCACCTGCTCCCATGACTGAACACTGTCAACCTCTGGAGAACAGATGTTGTTTGTGATGGTTCAGCTCCAATCCCCTAGCCGCCTCTGCCCTCTTTTAGAAGATGACACTTCTAAATATAAAGAAGGACTTGTGACCTCTGTGGGAAGGAGTTCTCCTTTCTATCAACACTACAGACACACTTATCAATCAGACTGAATCACCCACAGTGCCCACTATTGAGAGGAATGGCTACCAGCTTCCCTCCAACCCTGAGTTCTGTGATGGAGCTTTCTCTTTATCTCAGGACATCTCCTGGTTGTCCGTCGCTTGTTTTTCAGGGAGACTGTGCTCACCTGACTGCATTGTCTCAGGTGCCTGACCTGAGCTCTGTAGAGCATTGACCGTGGCCACCAGATGGGTACCATCCTTGTGTCTCCAGCTTCCATGTTGGAAGCTGAATGTATGCTACAATTCTCAGAGCAAAAATAGCTCCAATGTCTACTCCCTATAAAGGCATCACAAAGTTGCCTTCTGGTGGCATGGACTATCTGTTTAGATGATGTCTAGGTGGCTACAAGTCATCATATCCAGTAAGTGCTTGAGGAAGGATAGCCAATATTGTGGGGTTTCCTTCCAATGTCAGCTCCTGAAAATGTGACCTGGTATCTCAGCTCCACGATGCCAATGAGGATCAAGGAATAAGTTACCTCATACATATATAGTGGCTAGTTCAGAGGGAGACTTCAGGGGATGGGTGGAGAAAAACATTCAGTTTCTGTGGACATCTGGATGTCAGGGCGTTTGGTGGTCTAACAGACTTCACATGCATTCTCAGGGATGATCAGCAGCCAGCGACAGTTCAGCCCATTGCAAAGATCATGTGGCTGTGCTGGCAGCTGAGAGACAGGTAAATGAACAGAATCTCTTCATACTGGAAATGAAGCAACCGTCTTTAGTTTTTATGCTCACGCTCTTAGAGTTATTACTGCCAGACTAGCCATGAACCCAGACTCTTGGCAAGGGGACAGAGCTTGTCTGACGCATTGCTTCATTGATTTTCCGCCATTCTTTTCCCCAGCAGGACATATCCTGTGACGAGGCCCGTATTTATGATAACAGAAACCACAGTGCACCCTTCCTTATCTGCTCAGTGGATATGCGTTTAAATCTGTGGATGATTCATTTGCTGTCTTCAAGAGCAGAGAAGTGATTCAGACACATTGCTGTATCATATTCTCCGTAGGACTATTAAGTCTGAGAGGAAAGCCCGTGATGTGCCATAAAATATTGCACATCCAGGTGATTCAGAGCTGCCCTGTGTCTACAGCGGCTGGTGAGTTCCTCAGCAGAAGGTGATTTGGCCCCTTTCTCACAGTAAATATGAATGCACATATGAGCCAGATGCAAGACGTTGTGACAGACAGCTCCCCTTATCAGTGAAGGCCCTGCTCATCATGGAAGATGGCTCTGACAGTGACTCAGATGAAAAACGTTCACCTTTCACGATTCGCTCTCCTGGAATCAACCCTTATTTCTACCCCTTCCCCCAGGGGTCAGATGTTGCCCAAATCTGACAGTGAGAAAAGCGTGCATCCCATAATGCACTCACCCCAGTTCTCTGGACTTCCATGAAAGTTGCTCTTTGGAATGACTTCTCCCACACGGCCAGCTCACTGCCCAGTTCCACACTGAAGACATGGCTCCTCCCATGGCCGGCCAGGACACTGAAGCAGTATGGCCTGGGGTCTTCACAGTCAAAATCATGGAGACCCAGGTACAAGTTTGCCTGCAGCCAGTAGTTGTCCGAAAGCCAGAACTAAAAGATAGCATGGATTGGAAATGGGTCAGGATGAAGGCTGGGCCTGGAACCTAGCCTACTACTGGGGAAGAGGGTTGCATTTGCCTGGTCTGGTGCAGGTCACCTCTTCCTCACAACCACCAAATGGGACGAATAATGAAGCACAATTAATAAAAATTCAGAGACAGAAATTGGGTTTTAACCTGAAGGTCAGAAAAGCAAAATAGCCAGCTCCTGGATCTTACTTCTACCTCAGTCTGAAATGGCGATCTTGCCTCCAGGAATCTCAGAAAGACACTGACCTCCAGGAATCTCAGAAAGACACTGAGAGTGAGCGCCATCTCCTTCCACTTTATAATCCTCTCTAGTTCTGGGATTAGGGTGTGTACCACTACTGCCTGGTTTCTATGGCAAGCTAGCGTGGCTGCTGGGATTAAAGATGTGTATCATTGCTGCCGGGGCTGTAAGGCTGGCCAGAGGGGCTGTTCTACTTCTCTCACCCTTAGGCAAGCTTTATTTGTTAAAATACAAATGAAATGCCACTACACTGTGCTTCAGCAACATTTTCAGAACCACAGCTGAAGCAAACAGAAAGAAGGAATGTTCTAGATTCCATCACAGAATCACCTGACTGTCCTGTCCCCACCGAACAACTCGCAGCCGAATCTTCCAAATATGTTTCTGATGTGCTTGTTTGGGGCAGCCTCAAAATCCTCTGGGGATTTTCCCTGTCAAGGTTAGTTACAGGGACCAGATGCCGGCCACCAGTTGTTGTCACTTTCAGAGGAAGGGCAGAGAAGCAGGCAGCAGGGAACATTGGGAGGAATCTTCTGGGATAGGCCAGGGTTCTAAGGAGGAGTTCAGGTCCAGGGCTGCAGGACAATAGCTACTGTAAAAACTCTCAGTTTTGAGGTGAATTGTTATCCAACGATAGGTCTCTAATGCAGAGGCAAAAGTATGTTCTTGTTCTTATAACTATTTTTCAACCATAAATTATAGCGAAGGAGTTCATGACTGAATGAGTAAATCTTAACTGGGGGGCGGGGCAAGGGACCATACTTGGGAAACTGAGCTAAGCAATATGAATGAAGAGCACGATCATCCTCATTAATAGGTTCATCCCAGCAATTATGTATTTAAACTGTCTGCCCTAACAGCGCTGAAATGACAGGAACACAGATCACTAAGATGCATCTAGCCTGCTATCTAATAACTCTACACAACCAGCGAATAAAATGCAGTTTATAAAGGATTGTTTCAGAATAGCCTATGAAACCACGCTGCACAGTAATTCACAGATCTGGCCACATACCAACATCCCCAGGGACGTTTGTGTCAGGAGAACTCAGTTGTGAAACATCTCACAGCATGCAAAATTAGAGCTTTCGCCTTTGGTGAAGCTCCCTCGAGGTGATCACAACACAGAGAAGGTTGAGAATCCCTGCAGGCACACCCCTGGCCAGAAAGACATGGGAACTAGAGTCCACGTCACAGGAACATGGGAGGCGTGGCGGTGGCACAACCAGCAAGCTTTCCCCACTGCACGGGCCCTGCCATCACCCTGCCAGCTCTTGGTCTGAGACCAGTCTGGGCTGTGTAAGACTCCAGTGAAAAAGAAAAAGAAACCAACAGAACAAACAAATGAAAGATCAAACAAAACTTGCAACAACATAACTGAGAGAATTCCCTCTAAGCCAAGCGCCCACTGAGTGGCTCATCTTGGCGGCCTATGCATTTACGGATCCTGTCCATTATTCCGATGACACCTTCCCATTAAGGGGAACTGACTTCCTGCCTGTGGATCGGCTATGTCGAACTGTGCAATACACTGGACAATTCTGACAGCTTCATGTGATTACTGTGGATGACTCCCCCCTCATTATCATTGAATACTTCCATCTAATTAGTTAGAATTACTTTACTCATTATTCTGGTCTACCCAGTCCAGGCTTAAGTAAGAAATCATTTTAGGTCACAAATTTGAATTTGATTGCTAAAATATTCCTCTACAGGGCGGAGATGGTGGCTACACAGGTAAGACTGATTGCTGCAAAAGCCTGCGGACCTGAGTTCAAATCCTCCATATGTGTAGAAAAGTCAGGATGAACCTGTGTGTTTGGAACCCCAGTGCAGTTAGGACAGAGAGAGGAAGATGGCTGAAGCCTGCTATCGGCCTACCTCCAGGTTCAGTGAGAAACTCTGTTTCAAGGGAATAAGGTGGAAAAAAATAAGAAACCTAGCAAACTCTCCTTGCCTCTGCATATTCAAGGGTGTAAATACTTACACATGTATGCACCACACACACACACAAACACACAAACACACACAATCTACCGCCACCATCCACCCTAAATACCACCCATAATTTCATCATTCAGTCACCATCCATCCATCCATCCATCCACTCATCCATCTATCTATCCATCCATCCATTTGTCCATCTATCCATCTATCCATCCATCCATCTATCCGTCCATCCGTCCATCCATCTGTCCATCCATACATCCACTCATCCATCCATTTGTCCATCCATCTATCCATCCATCCATCCATCCATCCATCCATCCTCCTCAATAATCAATAGCATGATAACACAACTGGACTGGAACAGCTGGTGGAATAAGAAAGGTTGAAGTTATTTTTCTATCTCAAAATATCCCTCAAAGAACATATTTTTCCTCACACGCTGTCAGCTGAAGGACATCTTTTCTCTTCAAGGCTTCCTAATGTCCAGGATACCCACCTTGTGAACTTTAAACAGCACCTCACAGAGGTTATAGGCATGTTCTGCTCGTCCCCAATCCAGTGTGCTTACCTGTGGGAGACAAACAGACACATTGGGGCAGGAAGAGGAAGCTCCTTCGGCTATGAGCTCCAGCACTTACTGTTTCCACAGGTCTCAGTTTAGATGCTAAACTTCCCTTGCCCTGGGTGACAATGGAACTTTATATCCTGGTGTGGGTTCTGATTCTGTGTCCTCCTCTAGTGTGTAACAGGGATACGAAGGATACTTTATTGAGACTGGTAATATGAGAACTTTATACTCCTGAGGATGGTTTTAGGGATCCATTTTTTTTTTGTGGATTATCTGTCAATTAAATTTTAGTTTAAATGCAGAAAATGTAGGAAGAGTATGCACGTGGGACAGCATGACAATCAAGCAGACACACTGTTGACCAGCTGTCTGGTACTCAGGCCTCAACTCCCTAGACATTTCTGTCTCAGAAATGACAGGAAAATTTACCTCACCAATTTACCTGAATGTGTTTTTGGATGGTTAGGCACACAAAAGCTCATAACTATTCATTTTTGAGTGATGTGTTATGATTTATAATTTACACTCACACATATGACCTCTGAGTTAAAATGCTTCTGGCAAACATGTACACATGTATTCTCAGCAGAGTGAGAGATTTGGGTCTCCTCTGTAGACTATGCACTTAGTCTTACAATCAGTAAACGTGAAGAAGAGTTTTCCGTGTTGTCTTTGAGGCACGAATCTCGATGTATTTAATCAGTAGGTGGTTTCTTAGCCATCATCCCACCACATAAAACGTTGCCAAGGTGCTGCTGAGGTCAGAGAACTAGCCCACAGAGACCGTGACATAGAAACAACGCCGACATGTTACCGCTTAACCTGCCATTGCTCCAGAACCCACTGCTACCGGAATTGAACAACAAAAATACTGGAAAATTGCACCTTGATAGAAAGCAAGCAGGATAAAAGTGCTGATGTGAAGCTGGCCTTTGGGTCAGCCTTCAGGCCTAGCATGGTTTCTGGGATCCACAGATGCTAGTTGTTCTTACTGCATCCTTCAAATCCAAAATGTCTAAGACTTTTACACCCTTTTCCAAAGCCAACATGTTCAGGGGTCCCAAGACAGCATTGCCCTAACTCAAAGACAATGCTCACTGAATCGGAAGCTGCTCCTGCCCTCCTGCTCATGTGGATAAGGGAGATACAGACGCTTCTCAGGATAGAGCCCCAGGGTTGTTGGTATTACTAGACAAAAATAAACCATACATGGACAGGCACCATGCTCAGCATTCCCATTAGAGAAGTGCTGATTATTTTGAGAGAATTAACAAAAAAAAAAAACCCCAAAGAAATGATTAAACACATTATTCGGAGACATGCTCCTTTAATAGCTGATGTGATGTTTAAATATGCATTATACATATTCATAATTTTGCCTTTCGAAATGTAGTTTGTAAAAGAAGCATTTCCCATGTCATTTTTTTTTCAGAAATAAAATTCAAATGGTAGCTTGAAATCTCAGTGTGTAGATTCATCATTTTTGTAAGTCTGCCTGAACTTTATGCTGGCATTTTAGATTGCGGCTATATTTTAATCATTCTAAAAGTGCCCTGATTATCCCATTGAGGACATTATGCTCTGATATCCTGTTGTTATCAAATGCATCTTCCTCATTAGCCTATCATCAGTATATGGCAGAATAGCCTTCTTTCTGAGCTGTGTTCTTAAGTAAGGGCAGGAGGAGGTAGCAGCTCTTATATTTTGCAAACTCTAGGGCTTCCTCTGTTGTATTCAAGGTATTTTCTGGGCACCTGCTTTCCTTCTGTTTTAGTGTTCCGATCAGGAGGTCATGCCTATCCTGTGGGGATGACCCCATCTCCCCTCTAGCCCCCACGTTCCTGGAAGTGACTGATGCTCCCAGCTTCTCTTGTAGTATAAATCATGTCCTGCCCTTCATCACCTTGGTCACCGTGATGGATTCAGGGAAGAGACTGCTGCAGATTTGGAGATGAGGTTGAAGGGCTAAGATTTATTTCATTATTGGACTCGGGGTAAGTGCACCACCCGAGCATTGCTGGAAGTTACAATAGGATATCGGTTACTGATGATGTCTTGATGACACCAGTTCCTTTGCTATAACAAGTTACACAGATGCAAAGTAACCTGAAGCGGGGGTGTGGGAGGAGTCAGGAGTTATGTGACTGTCTTCTATTATCTCCTTTTTCTTTAAACCTCAATCTCTATAAAATCAGGCTCCTTAAAAAAAAAAATAGATCTTTTTCTTCATTCCCTTTCCCTGGGATTCCTGAACTCTTCTTAAAGGCTTAGCTGAGACACAGACCGGAAGTCTTTCTTCATATCCTGAGAAAAGACTCGGTAGTCATGTACCTGGGCCCTCACCCTTCACTCACCTAACACTGAATTCCCGTAGGCCTTTGCTCGCCCACTGTACCTGGGTCTGCTACCCAGAAGGCTCCAGGAGAGAGGGCATGGGCAACATGCTCAGAGAGGAGCATGTGTGCTCAGCAAAGCCCCACCGTGAGGCTGAGCCAGTAGTCAGACTTGATAGCTGCAGCCAGCCTGGTTCTAGCCTGCACAGCCTCCTCTCCCTATGTGACTCTGGGGTAGAGATCTGTAATCCAGCAGAAAGGCAGACAGGAGGAGTCTTTCAATTTCTCCTTGCAGAAAATATTTGTCATATTCTGCTTAGTTCTTTTCACTTTTTATTAGTTATAGCTCTAAAACCTGGCGGTGAGTTCTGAATTCTGAATGTAAGTCTTTCAGCGCTTATCCTGATATCCACATTGCTTGAGTAAAAAACAGTTGACAGAAAGAGCTATTTGACATACATTCACATATTCATAATAGAATATACATGCAAAGTTCAGAAATGTCGCTCTGCCTGGTCAACAGTATTCTGACAAAAGTGACGGTCTAGTGAGCTCTGCAGGTTCCTGCCTTGGTGCTCAGGGTTGGAACCCGGGGGCAGATACTGCGCCTGCCAAGCTCACCAAGACAGAAGTCTTTGGCCCTGCAGTGTTTCAGATGAAGCTTAGTGAACTCAGATTTTAGCTTCTAAGTAGGGCCTGTGAGGTGGTCACCTCAGCTTCTACTGACACTTGTGAACCATGGAACCTAGGTGACCCTAGGCCTAAGCATGGGGCACACTAATGAGAAGCTGCATGGGCACACCATTCTTGTCCCGTGGGTTTGTGGGGAAACTCAGAGACTCTCCAGCTTTTGAGAAGGAAAGAAAGACTAAGGAGAGAGAATGGTATTTTGGATAAAACACTATATTTACACTATAGACATGCATTTAATTATTGCTATCTTTACAAAAAAAGTTCCTGATTTTGCAAACCAGGTTCTCAGTGATGTCATATCCTCAAGTGAAAGGGTCCCTCATACAGGAAGCACAACTTCTTTCTGCTATAGTACTTTCATGATGACCCTCTCAGGGAAGGGATAAAACCTCAAACAGAAAGAAGGAGCATGCAGCCCAGCACTCTGTACTATCATCTAGCTAGCTTCTCTAGACAGTGGCTTCAAGTGTCATCACTGGCCTTGACAGTAACTTCCCCTGGTGATGTAGAATCAATGCAAGCAGAGATTAGGCCAATGGATTCCAGATCCCCGAAAAGGCGCATTGTAATGAAGATAACAAGCAGGCACTGGCAGGGCGGTGGTGGCAGGTGGCAGAGGCAGGTGGATCTCTGTGAGTTCGAGGCCAGCCTGGTCTAGAAGAGCTAGTTCCAGGACAGGAACCAAAAAAAGCTACAGAGAAACCCTGTCTCAAAAATCCAAAAATAAAATAAAATAAAAAGCAAAACAAAACAAGCAGGCACTCGGGGGAGAAGAGACTAGGGATTTCTAAATCACATGTCCCTGCTCCTCCAAACAGTGGCACTTGATGACTTTCTGACCTGTCTGGCCAGTTGTGGCTTTCAGCAGAGCTGTACTTTTGATGATAAGCCACACTATATGGGTTTCTTTTAGGGTTACCATGGGATTGATGCCAAATCATGATGATGCAGCAATTCTACAGTGGATTCATTCTGGCCTGCATTCTGCCAACTTTAGTCAGTTCAGTTCTTTCCAGATAAACTTTCACAAATATTAGAATATATCTGCCTAATGGCATTCTTAAAATTACTGCTAATATTTCCTGTGGGCACTAGGGCCTTCAACACTAATTTTTACACTAATGCTACACGATGTTGCTAAAATGATTTTGCAGCCTCACTTTTAACACCTTTTAATGGAGTTTGAAAACATGAAGAGTTGAAGCATCACCTTTTGGATTTGCATTTGCAAGTCAGAAATAAATATTCTATCACTGAAAGTGAGCAGAGCGACAAGCGGGGCTGAGGGTCTCAGTCTTCCACCCCCAACTGTTCAGGATCTCTGAGGGTTTTGGAGATGGGGGATAGAGAATGGATGGTGGGGTTCCTTTCTTTCAGACCCTGCTTCTTCCTCAACAGAACACCTCACTGCAAAGGATTTGACCCCCATATCTCCCCACCTCTTCCTAAAGGAACTCAGAAGGAAACTGTCCTTGATCGAAGGATATTATTTTTTTAACCTCTTTCTAAATTTCCCATAATAAGAATCTTTAAGTCCTTCTAGGTTCTGTTTCAAAATTCTGATTAGATGTGTTGAGACTATAGTTTAGTAAATATTTTGACTTTCCTGTATTGTCAAGGTTTATAAATGCCTATAAAGGCTGATTGTGTTGTAATCATTTTGAAGACACTAGTGACAACCATTTAGGAGCATTGGCAGGGTTTCTTCTCCCCAGAAGTCACTTGAGTAGCTTCAAACTCCTGGAACAGGAGATTCTGCCTCCTTCCTCTAGGGAGGACATGTTGACTTTACTGAGAAGAAGTCTGCACTATGGAGAGATGGGTGGGTTTCCCACTTGCTGCATAAAGTCTATACAGAGAACAGTAACTTGGGAGCTCCCATCTGAAACTCAGGCCACTGTATATGAGGGGACTATGAGCCCTGCTGGGCCCACACGCTGGGGAACTTGGCACTGGACATGCTGCAAGTCATTAACTGCCTGTCTCCAATCCAGGAGCTTAAGGCTTCATTCAGAGTTAAATAAATAAAATATTCATTAAAACTTAATGTTTTAGATTTAGGCAAAGTAAAAACTGTTATTGGAAATTATTAGCAATGGCAAGATATAAACCCTAGGCCCAGGAAGCATAAATATTTAGACGTAAATTTACTTACCATATCATGTGCATTGCTATGGCAACAAAAAGCCATCTAGTATTAGTAAGTATGATTTTCATCTTTTAAATTTTATGTGCTTCAGAGGCACATTCTGTGATCACTGTGGCCCAGTGGGAATTTCTAGTCGAGATTTATTATCTCTGACAGATTACTGGGGGGGGGGGACTACTGAAGAAGAAATGTAAACAAGTTGCCTCATGTCCCTGGATGGTAAGCAGGACAATTATGCTGAGAACTTGTAGCTCCGAGTTATTAACCTGCAGCCAATTCCATCGAGACAAGGGGTGATTCTTCTTCATTGCTCCATGTCATCTTTCCTATCTTGCTTCAAAATACACTTTGGTTATTGTGGATAAAAGATGAATTGTTTAATAAAATATCTAATTTTGTCCAACGCCACTCTATTATGCAAGGTCAATTTTTATCTTTCTATTTAACATGTAACGCGCTGTCTAGGCTGCTTGCAGCGTCTTACACTTTTATTTAATAAGGGGCTTGCTGTCTTGAGCACACTGCAAGCGAATGAACCTCCCCTGTTTGTCTCTAGAAACGGATAGGTGTTGAGCTATGTCAATGGGATACAAACAAATCTGAAAACCCTGGTTTTATGGTCTGACTTCTAAGCTGCTGTTCTCTGTACTTTTGTCTTCCGTCTTGCTGATGCTATATAGGATGCAATCAAGGCTTTCAAATTACTCAGAAACTAATTGTTACCTCCTTCCTTTGTTGCCCTTAATTATAAACGGAGTAACCATCATGTCTACTTTTAATGGTGTGTCTGGTTACTGTGTTTGCCATCACACTGTCTGACACTGTGAAGACCCTTGTCCTGGATGTCCCGGCTATGTGGGGTTCTTGTCCTATGGGACCAGCTAACTTGGCCAAGTGCTTGGATGGGCTTCCTCCATCAACCCTCTTTAATTCTTTTATAGAATAAAACAACTTTTATTTCCCCCTGGGGATTGCTTCATGTTGATTTGAGGGCTTAAAGAACAAAATGCCCAAAGGGTTGATTTTTTTTCCCCTTAATATCCCATTTCGAGAGTTTTCTGACATTTCCAATTCTTTGAGCACAGCTCTAGGGTTTCACTATCTTCCAATATACGGGATTACCCAGCCAGAGACCATTCAGCCATCAGAGAGCATCTAAGTCAGTCACTTAACCTCCTAACCAGCAGTGACTTTATTACTCTTTTACAGGGACTGCAGTGACAGCTATGTCACCAGAAAATTGAAAATTATCTGAAGACATAGGGACTGTAGAAATGAAACCCCCTACTTCAGTCTGACTATGGGCTGAATATTCATTCACATATCACGCTGTTTTCACCAATGGCTTCTTTAAGCATAATTGTCACAGGAAGAATGGAAGTTTCCCAGGCCCAGAGGAAGCATGTGGCACACCCATCACAATGCAGGATCCCTCCAGCCAGGTGAACACCACCCCTGTGGTCCCCACTGCTAACAGCACCTGCTTACTACTGACATCATTATCCAGGTCATACCTGAGCAGGGGGGGGAGACTCTAGCACTACTCAAAAACACCCACTTACTCTGTTAGATAAAACCCTGTTATTCAACAACTTTAAAGAACATAAATTAGTTGACCTTCAATTTATGTTCTTTAAAGAACATAAAATGTTCTTTTTTATGAGAATTTAATCAGTGCTTATGCAAATCTGTAGGTGATTGGAATGTGAGTAAATTTACAAGAGTTTTTACATAACAAAAACCACTTTGTTGTCCTGCTCCAATTGTAGGGGTGGGGGAGCACATTCCTAGGGAGAGCCAGGGAAGGTAGCAGCAGGTACTCACTAGTGAGTACCTTTCCCACTGTTAGCTTTCCATTTTATACAGGTTGCACACCCCAAGGGAAGTGCAGTAAAGGGTGCTTTTGAAAATATAATTTTTTCCCAAACATTCATGTTGCTTTTTCTCATCTCAATGGTAGAAATTTATCTCACTACTTTTGTGGCTCTTTCTGAATTTTCAGAGACATTAAACCAAGTTTCATTACTTTTTAGACCTAGTGGTCAGAATCTTGAAAGTGAAAATAAATAAATAAATGGAATACAAAAATGTCCAGATGAGGAGCTTTTAGACAGAGCATTTATAACCCGTTTTATTGACCTGAGAACAGTGTGGGTAGGAATCGGAAAATAGAAGTATAGGAAACAGTATCCATCCTTACAGTTATGTGATGGGCCCGACTAAAGCAGGCTGTTCACTTTGATCAAATCTGGAAATTGTGTGGGAAAGTATAACTTTGGAAATTTCATTATTTAGACATTTAGTTAGAAATATCTGGGGGAGGGTCTGTGTTTTGCTTTGACTGCCTCTTGGAGCTCCCAACCATGTAACTCAACCAAAGAGCTGTCTGCACCCCACCTCCACACCAGCTGATGTTTGGAGCAAAGAAATGCTACAGCCCTATCTCACCGGCTGTTTGAACTCAAAGACAGAAATGGATTCGCTTATGAGTTTGAAATAAGTCCCTGGTGGTTAATCCATAAGCAGGACCCATTACAACCACTGAGGTCTGGAGACAACCATGGCCAGCTACCTGTCTCTGCCTCTTCCCAGGGCCCAATTGCATATGAATAACTCCAGCAACAGGTCCCTCACCAGCATCAGATGCAAAGACATTCTTACCGGAGGAGTGCTGAAAATGTAGAAGGATGAGCCCTTCAGGGCCAAGAACTTGGATCTGAAGTTCTGAGAGGTGTCATCAGCTCCCTGGAGCCTCTCATTTACCCAGCCCATGTGCACCACCTGCAGAGGGAAACCTTGGAAAATTAAAAGCCAAGCCTTAATGAGAGTGTTCTAAAAGCAGCATACTAACCACACTCAACATGCAATGCTCTTTAACTTCAACCCAGTAGTACATCTAGAAAACAGTGGGAGATGAAAGAAGTCTACATGAATCCATAAGTTCCAACTCAAGTAGACAGAAGTATAAGACAGTTTGTCATGAATACCAAGATCCTGTGGATAAGACTACACAGCAGCTAATTGTGGAGTCCTTGTATGTCTTAAAAATGTGGCGCTACAAGACCTTGAAAGAACAATACTCCAAATGGAAAAAACAAAAGACCCAGGAGAGCCCAAACAATCCTGTAGAATAAAGGAACTCCAGGGGCATCACCATTCCCAACATCAACCTCTATTATAGACTTACAGTAATGAAAACAGCCCGGTATTGGCATAAAAACAGACAGGTAGACCAATGGAATTGAATAGAAGACCCAGATATTAACCCACACATCTGTAAACACTGATTTTTGACAAGCAAGATAAAATTATACAATGGAAAAAAGAAAGCATCTTCAACAAATGGCACTGGCATAACTGGATGTCAGCATGTAGAAGAATACAAAGAGATCCATATCTAGTCCTATACATGAAACTCAAGTCCAAATGTCAAATTTAAGATTATTAACTCCAACCACACTGAACCTGATAGAAGAGAAAGTGAGAAGTACCCTTGAACACATGGACACAGGAGACTACTTCCTAAATATAACACCAGTAGCACAGACACTGAGAGCAACAATAAATAAATGGGAGCTCCTGAAACTGAGAAGCTTCTGTAAGGCAAAGGGCAGAGTCAATAAGATAAAAATACAGCCTATTGAATAGGAAAAAAATCTTTACCAACCCCACATCAGACAGAAGATTAATCTCCAAAATATATAAGGAACTCAAGAACTAGACATTAAAATAGCAAATAATCCAATAAAAATGAGGTACAGATTTAAACAGAGAATTCTCAGGAGAGGAAATGTTGGCTGAAAGACACTTAAGGAAATGTTCAACATCCGTAGCTATCAGAAAAATGCAAATCAAAACGACTCTGAAATACCATCTTACACCTGTCAGAATGGGTAAGATCAAAAACATCTATGATATCTTATGCTGGAAAGGATGCAGAGTAAGGGGAACACTCATCCATTACTGATGGGAGTGCAAACTTGTACAGCCTCTTTGGAAATCAGTATGGCAGTTTCTCAGAAAATTAGGAAACAACATCCCTCAAGACCTAGCAATACCACCCTTGGGCACATATCCAAAGGATGCTCAATCATACCACAAAGACACTTCTCAACTATGTTCAAAGCAGCATTATTCATAACAGTCAGAACCTGGAAACAACCTAGATTCCCCTCAACTGAAGAATGGATAATCAAAAAGTGGTCCATTTCTACAATGGAGTACTACACAGCAGAAAAAAAAACGACATCTTGAAATTTGCATGCAAATGAATGGAACTAGAAAAAAAAAACTTGAGTGAGGTAACCCAGACCCAGAAAAATGAGCATAGTATATACTCACTTATAAGTAGATATTAGATATAAAGCAAAGGATAATGAGTCTATAGCCCATGACTTTAGAGAAGCTAAGAATCAAAGAGAACCCTAAGAGAAACATACATAGATTTCTCTGGAAAGGGGAAATAGGCAAGATCTCCTGAGAAAATTGGGAGCATGGGGATTGGAGGAGAAGGGAGGGTGGAAGGTGAGAGGAGGGGAAAAGGGGAAGAAGGAGGAGAACTTGAGGTAACAGGATAGTTGAGATGGGGGAGGGAGGGAGAGAGAGAGAGAGAGAGAGAGAGAGAGAGAGAGAGAGAGAGAGAGATACCTTGATGGAGGGAGCCATTATGGAGCTAGCAAGAAACCTGGCACTAGAGAAATTCCCAAGAATCCACAATGACCCCAGCGAAGACCCTAAGCAATTGTGGAGAGGGTCCCTGAACTGGCTTTGCCCTGTAATCAGATTAATGATGATTTTAAAAATCATCATAGAATTATCATCCAGCAACTGATGGAAGCAGGTGCAGAGGTCTACAGTTAAGCACTGGGCTGAGCTCCCAAAGTCCAGTTGAAGAGAGGGAAGGGTGATAATAAGAGCAAAGAGGTCAACAGTGTGATGAGGAAACATCCCACAGAAACAGCTGACCTGAGCTAGTGGGAGCATAGGTCCAAACTAGGCCCTCTGAATGTGGGTGACAGTTGTGTGTTTGGGGCAGACTGTAGGCCGCAATGAGCCCAGAATTTATTCTTATTGCTTGCACTAGTATTTTGGAACCCATTCTCTTTGGAGGGATACCTTACTCAACCTAGATATAGCGGAGAGGTCCTTGTTCCTGCCTCAAAGCAATGTGCTAGATTTTATTGACTCCCCATGGGAAACCTTACCCTCTCTCAGCAGTGGATGGAGGGATGAGGTGAGGGGAAAGGTGAAGGGAGTGGATAGAGGGGAGGGAGTGGGAACTGGGATTGGTATGTAAAATGGGGAAAGAGGTTATTTTTTTTAATTAATAAAAAATGTGGTGTTATCGGAGACATGGCTCAGCTATTAAAGGCAAAGTGGTTACAACCCAAAGGACAATAATGCAGTGTTAAATTACACTCTACTAGGGATTATGCAGATGTAAAAAATAGCTATTTATATTTTCAGTATTTATAGTAATCATGTAGCATCATACAATGTAAATAAAATGAGTAAGGCTTTTTTACAGTTTAACTCCCTAACAGTGAAAATAAAATAAAACACAAGCTTCTTACAACTCAAATAGTTTCAACCTTAATCCATAAAATGTAAACTATAAAATCAGAATGTAGTTTAGGTGTAGAATGGAAATACTGATATAATTTGAGAGTTCAGTGAATGACATTGGCCATATTAAAAAACAACTCCCATGCTACCTAAATTTACATATGATACACACTCTGTAGTGAATCATCTGAGTGACCCCAGTTCAGCTTTCCCATGTCCCCATTTTTCCATTTCAAGAAAAGCCATTTATCTAAAAAAAACAAAATCCTGATAAAAACAAATAAGCCCTAAATTAAGACAGAGTTCCCAACCAACCTCACCCTCATTCTTCCTTGACTAATTTTTAGGGAGAGTCTTACGATGCAGCCCTGGCTGTCCTGGTACTTGCTATGTAGCCCATACTGGCCCCCAAATCATAGAGATCTGTTTCTGCCTCCCCAGTGCTGGCAAAAAAGTTGTGTGCCACATGTCTGGCTTTTCGGCATTTTAAGTGATATATCTTATTCACTATTTCAGTGAGCATTACTCAGGGTCCTTTGGGGCTGATGACCTTGTTCCAGAGTTTAGGACAGGGACAGAAAGCTCATCAGTAGTTCCCATGGCCTAGGGTAGAACAGCCTTGCAACAGTTTTTTTTTGCCCAGTAACTCTTGGCAGTATTCATTCTTACACATGATAGTCCTGCCCTTGAGGTCAAGATGTCAGCCGACAGGTAAAATACAAACAAGACAGAAATGGTTTCTGTTGATAGGGGATGGTGTAAGTAGCAGCCATGGCTGAACATAATTGCCATATGATGTATATTGAACACATAAAACTGCTATACAAATCTGTAATGTTGTTGTTTACTAGAATTTGCATGTATATGTATAAGCATTGTATATGAATGTTCAAGCATGTGTAGAGCATGTTTTTACACAGGTACATTTAATTTGTGTACACATACATTCATGTAAAGTCCAGAAAACAGTCTTGGCTATCATTTCCCAGGCATTGTGTTCCTTGTTGTTTTTATTATTATTCTTTTTATTGCAATATACAATTTTCTCCTCCCTTCCTTTCCTTCCCTCTCCTCTTCTACCCTCTTCCGTAGCCCACACTCCTAGTGTACTCAGGAGATCTTGTCTTTTTCTCCTTCCTATGTAGATCCATGTATGCCTATCTCAGGGTCTATTTGTTGTCGAGGTTCTCTGGGGTTGTGGAATGTAGACTGTTTTTTTTTTCTTTATGTCTAAAAGCCAATTATGAGTGAGTGTATATTATATTTGTCTTTCTGAATCTGGGTTACCTCATTCAATATGGTTTAATCTAGATCCATCCATCTGCCTGCAAATTTCAAAATGTCATTAATTTTTTACTACTGAATAGGACTCCATTGTGGAAATGTACCACATTTTCTTTATCCATTCTTCAGTTGAGGAACATCTAGGTTGTTTTCAGGTTCTGGCTATTATGAATAATGTTGCTATATTGTCCTTATAGTATGATTGAGCATCCTTTGGGTATAAGCCCAAGAGTGGTATTGCTGGGTTTTGAGGTAGGTTGATTCCTAATTTTCTGAGAAACTGCCATACTCATTTCCAAAGAGATTGTACAGTTTGCACTCCCACCAACAATGAAGGAGTGTTCTCCTTACTCTACATCCTCTCCAGCACAAGCTATCATTGGTGTTTTTGATCTTAGCCATTCTTACAGGTAAAAAATGGTATCTCAGAGTTATTTTGAGTTGAATTTCTCTGATGGCTAAGGATGTTGAGCACTTCCTTAATATATTTTGGTCATTTTAGATTTGTCTGTTGAGTTTTCTGTTTAGGTTTATATCCTTTTTTTTTTATTGGATTATTTGGTTTTTTGATGTCAAGTTTCTTGAGTTCTTTGTATATTTTAGAGATCAGTCCTCTGTCTGATGTGGGGTTGATGAAGATATTTTCCCATTCAGTAGGCTACCATTTTGTCTTGTTGACCATGTCCTTTGCTTTACAGAAGCTTCTCAGTTTTAGGAGGTCCCATTTATTAATTGTTGCTATCAGTATCTGTGCTACTGGTTTTATATTTAGGAAGTAGTCTCCTGTGCCTATGTATTCAAAGGTACTTTTAGCTTTCTTTTCAATGAGGTTCAGTGTGGCTGAATTTATATTGAGGTCTTCAATCATTTTGGACTTGCATTTTGTGCATGGTGATAGATATGTATCTATTTTCATTCTTCTACCTGTTGAT